ACAATTATTGACATTTCATTAATTAATTTACATTTTATTTCATTTTTAACAAATAGAGCCACTCCACCACCTCTCTTGTTGCTTCTGTTCACATGATATAATTCATACCCTTCCATGTGAACATTATTTGTGATTTCATCGTTGAGCCATGTCTCTGACAGTGTTATTATTGTAAAGGTTCTGTTTAGCTGTTTTAAATAATCTGTTATTTTGGATATATTTGCATTTAATCTTCTACTATTAAAGTAAATAATAGAGAGACCTCCATTTGTTATATTGATGTCATTAAACTGTTCTTCATTGTAATATTCACAGTCTTTTATTGCAGGGAAAAATTTGTATCAATCGCATCTTCAACATTGTATATTTTAAACTCTAAGTCTTCGTATGTTGCCATGTTTTAATGTATTTGTTCATTTTATATTTTGTTAATTTCTTGTTTGTGAAGTTATGTCAATGATTTATCAGCTGTCATCTCCTGAGCTCATTTTAGTCTTTCCAGATCCTTCAGGTCTTTTATTATTTTAGCCTGAGATCCTTCCTGTAGTTTGATCCAAATGTTTCCATTTCTTGGTGCCTCATAACAAGAGTTATGAGCCTGCCTTTATAGAGTCATAAAGAGGTGAGAGTGATCACAAGAGGTGAGTGATACAGACAGGTGAGAGTGAGACAGACAGACAAGAGTGATACAGAGAGACAAGACTGATACAGGCAGGTGAGAGTGATACAGACAGATGAGAGAGATACAGACAAAATTGGTACAGAAAGGTGAGTGTGATACAGACAGGCAAACGTAATGCAGACAGCTGAGAGTCATACAGAGAGGTTAGAGTGATCACAAGATGTGAAAGTGATACAGATAAGAGTGAAATAGGCAGTCAGTTGTGATACAGACAGCTGAGAGTGAAACTGGCAGGCGAAAGTGACACAGAGAGGTGAGAGTGATACAGAGAGGCAAGAAAGATGCAGACAGGTGAGAGACATAGAGAGGTGAGAGTGATCACAAGAGGTGAATGATACAGACAGATGAGAGTGATACAGACAGGCAAGAGTGATACAGGCAGGTGAGAGTGAAACTTGACAGACAAGAGTGATACAGACAAGGAAGAGTGATGCAGACAAACTAGAGTGATATAGACAGGTGAAAGTGATATGGAAAAGTGAGTGTGATACAGACAGACGAAAGTGATACAGACAGACAAAAGTGATGCAGACAGCTGAGAGTCATACAGAGAGGTGAGAGTGATCACATGATGTGAAAGTGATGCAGACAAGAGTGATACAGGCAGGCAATTGGGATACAGACAGCTGAGGGTGAAACTGACAGGCAAGAGTGATACAGACAAGCAAGAGTGACATAGACAGGTGAGAGTGATACAGACAGGTGAGAGGGAAACTGACACGTGAGCGTGATATAGACAGGCGAGAAATTGATAGACAGGTGAGAGTAATACAGAGAGACGAGAGTGTTACAGGCAGGTGAGAGAGATACAGACAGATGAGTGTGATACAGATAGATGATAGTGATACAGACAGGCAAGACTAATACAGACAGGCAAGCTTGATACACACTGGTGGGAGTGATACAGACGAGGGACATATACAGAAAACAGAGAGTGATACAAATAGGCTAGAGTGATGCAAACAGGCAAGAGTGATATAGCCAGGCAAGAGTGAATATGGAAGTGTACGGAAGTCCTGAAACTTCAAAAACAAAAATTCACTTTGGACTTTTTCATTTTTTTTAAATCAACTTTTTCTCTCCAGCTTTTAACCTTTTAAGCTGTTAATGTAAATGTTT